GCGAAATTCTATCTCAAAAAAAAAAAAAAAAAAAGAGAATTTAATAAATTTTGTGGTCCAAATAAGTTATGAGTTTTTTAAAAAAACATAAATTGCACTCTGCTCTCCAATGGACTCAATACAACTGTCTGCCTCCTGGCCAGCCCTCAAAGCTGTCCAGGAATCTCTTTCAGGGTTTCCCATTCTCTTCTATTCTTCCTCCCATCTCCCCGCTGGCTGGAGAACCTTACTTGATAACTGGTGCCAGAGGACCAAAAGTCTCTTCATGAGTGCACAGCATGTCCTGGGTGACATTGCTCAGCAGGGTGGGCTCAAAGAAATTTTTTCCAAGATGGTGTCGTTTTCCGCCTGTCACAATGGTGGCACCTTTAGAAACGGCATCATTCACCTGTTTCTCCACCTGCGTGATGAGGAAGAAAAAAAGCTTTCTACATGATACAATCTTTCAGAATGTTTAAACTGCAGAAAACTTTAACTACTTCTATCTTTCATCTTTTTTAAAAATGTAGGTTAACAATAAAGTATGCTGGTTTCCTTTTGTAGAAGGAACCACATTTGCACAGATTCAGAAGCAAGAGTGCCACCTTCATCCTTGCTCTTTGATATCTTCTAGCTGTTTGATCTTCCTATTTGTTGAATGGTCTAATATATCTTCACTTCTTTCTAGGCCTGTGGCTCAGCTGTTTGCTGGCGTTTGCTTTCATTGCGTTCTGAGGTTATTTCCAGCTTCTTGGATCCCATGTTGTCCTCTTTCCTGAACTGAGTTTTTGTTGCTTTCTGATATACACATTCTCCTCAAGTAGTTTGTTTGTTTATTTATTTATTTATTGATATGGAGTCTTGCTCCGTCACCCAGGCTGGAGTGCAGTTTCGTGATCTCAGCTCACTGCAACCTCCGCCTCCCAGGTTCAAGTGATTCTCCTGCCTCAGCCTCCCGAGTAGCTAGGATTATAGGCACCTGCCACCGCAGATAAATTAGGGAAGTGGAAGGAAATTTTTGCCCGGCTAATTTTTGTATTTTTAGAAGACACAGGGTTTCACCATCTTGGCCAGGCTGATCTCAAACTCCTGAACTCGTGATCCACCCACCTTGGCCTCCCAAACTGCTGGGATTACAGGAGTGAGCCACCAGGCCTGGCCAAATAGTTGTTTTAAAACAGATGCCCTGGATGTAGTCTAGTTTCTGAATTTTCATACACCACGTTTCTGGTGTTTTGTACTCCACCTGATTGATAATTTGCTTGAGTACAGAATTCTGATACAAAATAACTTTACTTCAGAACTTTGAGTGCACTTCTCCACTTCTAGTGTTGTTGAGGAAGTTTGAGCCAAAAATGGTTCTCACCCTTTTTCCTCTTGATAGCCTTTTCCTCTCCGAAATCTCCTAGGATTTCCTATGCTCTGATATTCTAAAATTTTAGCTATATATATATATGTATTTTTCATTCATCCTACTTGGTAATCAGTGAAATCTTTCAATCTGCAGAATAATTATTTTCCCCTAACTCTGCGAAGTTTCCATCTATTATTGACTTGGTAATGTCACTTCCTCCAACTTCCCAATTATTTCATTCTAGAACTCCTACTACTGGACAGGTATTAGTAGGAGTTCAGATTAGTTCTGATTTTTTTTTTTTTTTGGCATTTCTATTATATTTTTTGCCTCTCTATTGTTTGCTTTAAACTCCATAAGATATCCTAAATTTTATCGTCTACCTTCAGCTACTGAAGCTTGTGACAGGCATGTATGTAATTTCTACAGACTCTTGTTTTCATTGCTTCATTTCCTAGAACATATTTCTTATTAGCAGTTTACAGATGCACTATCTTCTCAAAACTCTTGCAGGACACTATGAGATTCTTAGAAAATTTCCTTCTAGTTCCCTAATTTATCTGCTGCCTTCAGGGACTGTTCTGTTTGTTTTTCCTGACCTTTCCTCTTATGTGCTGATGGTTTCCCCATCATGATCCTTGGTTGTTCATCTTTCTGAATGAAGGACTGAGTTGTCGAAACTAACCTGGTCGGCTGCTTCTCAGCTCCAGCAGTGTGTTTGGGGGACACACACACACAAGGACTGGGTTGATCAATTTGGGGATGTGTGGCATGAGTGGTGTTTGCTGTTTTAAGCTTGGGTTTATTCTAACGTGCAGGCTTCACATAAGGGCAGCTCCCTTCCCCAAAAGGCAAAGTCGAGAAAGCCCTACCCTGATGTACCTAGCCTCGTTCTTGAAGCTGTAGTCCGCCTAGATACCTACTATATTTCTTCAGAAAAACTGTCCTGCCCAGAACAAATGCCTCTGCTGTCTTGTGTGTCTTGGTGGTGGTCGTGGTGGGGAGAGATGGTGGGAATGACCCAGAAAATTGTGCAAAAGTAGAATCAACCAGCTTCATCTCCTCCCCTCTTCCTATTCCTACTTTCTACAGCCACCAATTCTAGAAAGGCTCTGCCATTTAAAATGGCACCAATTTCCTCTGCAGGGTTCCCCTGGGTAGATCCATCTATTATGACTTCTGTTAACACAATCCCTTTTGAGTTCCAGAAGTTCATTACAATCTTTGGTTCACTGGCATTGTTTTCCCTTCCATTTTTCACCTGAATTTTCTGTTTTGCTTTTGTTTCTGAGACAGTCTCACTTTGTTGCTCAGGCTGGGTGCCCTGGTGCGATCTCAGCTCACTGTAACCTCCGCCTCCTGGGTTCAAGCGATTCTCTTGCCTCAGCCTCCTGAGTAGCTGGGACTACAGGTGCTTGCCACCATGCCTGGCTAATTTTTTTTTTTTTTTTTTTGGTAGAGATGGTCAGGCTGGTCTCAAACTCCTGACCTTAAGTGACCCACCACTTCAGCTTCCCAAGTGCTGGGATTATAGGCATGAGCCACCACACTTGGCCCTCAGCTGAATTTTCTATAGAGTTTCAGGAAGGTAAATACAGGTGTGAATGCATTCTGTCTTCGAAAATCCATGCCCCCGCTGCAATGCTCTCATACTGCATCACCTGCAACTAATCCCCATTGGCTAGGATGACTTACTTTCTATGAATTTTATATTTTAAAAATAATTATACTTAACAGGGGTCTACCCCCTTGATCCCCAAATATAATCTGCTCTGCCCTTTTCTTGTCATATTAATGTGAGGTGCAGTGTTTTTTTCCTGGAACCCACTCTATGACAGTATGTACACTAAAGCCAACACTGAATTGTTTTTAAACAAGGTGGTTTCCACCAAATTTCTCTCCAGCGAAAAAGAAATTTTGGGGTTTGTTTGTCTGAAGTCCTAGCATACAGCACCATCTGGAGGACAATGTGTGTCTTCCCTTTGGGAAAAAAATCTCTAAGACAGAGTGGTTTCCCAACCTGGCTGCAAACTAGCATCATCCTGGGGCACTTAGAAAATGCCAATGTCTAGGCCTACTACACATAAATTAACACTCAGTCTTCTTGGATGGGTCCCAGGCAACTGTAGTTGATAAAGGCATGGTGTGAGTTAAGGACCACCACTCTAGGACTTGAACCATAGCTGGCCTAGACCCAAACTGCCTTCACTTGACAAGTGAATACCCCTGGTTTGTCCCCAAGGTCCAAAGTCACCTCTAAAATGCAGGTGGTTCCAATGTAAATTTTAATGTATTTTCTTTATCTAGAGTAATCCCAAGACAGTAACTAGAAATTTATCAGAGCTCGGTCAAACCTCGATGCTTCCCTGGGTTTCCCAAGGCAATGGAGGTGGGTTCAGCTGAGTTGACTGCCCACGGGGTGGGGGCAGCCATGGAGTCAGGGCTTGGCTCTCAGGCTCTGAGGAGGTTGAGGAACATTGGTCGGGCTGTGTTTCCCATGATGAGTACTGACTTGGCTCTCACTTGCTTCTGGTTCTTCAGTTGCACCCAGGGGCTGGCTGTGCCTCCACTGTGTGTCTCCCTCTGGCCATCTCTCCTCCCTTCTTTCCCACACACTGTCTTCAGCTTCTGTTGTCTTCCTGATTTGAAATATTCCATTAAAACCATTTCTGGGCAGGTGCGGTGGCTCACGCCTGTAATCCCAGCACTTTGGGGGGCCGAGGCAGGTGGATCACCTGAGGTCAGGAGTTTGAGAGCAGCCTGGCCAACGTGGTAAAACCCCGGCTCTACTAAAAATACAAAAATTAGCCAGACGTGGTGGTGGGTGCCTGTAATCCCAGTTACTCGGGAGGCTGGGGCAGGAGAATTGATCGAACCCAGTGGGGCAGAGGTGCACTGAGTCAAGACTGCACCACCGTACTCTAGCCTGGGCAACAGAGTGAGACTCCATCTCAAAAAAAAAAAAAAAATACTGGATGTTTGATACTACAAGAAACTTCCTTGTGACTCCAAAATGAATTTTTTTAAACAGCAGAATAAGGAGAGAAGTTTCATAGAGCTAGTAGTGTGGATTATAACATTTTTTTAAACAAACAAATCTTTCCTAAAAGCAGTTTCCCTTCACTGTCTCTAAATCCTGAACATGGCATCTGTGATTCTGCACCCCTGGCTGGGATGCTTTCATCAAGGACTGTTCTCGACAGGGATTTTGTCATCAAGAGAAGAAAGAACAAGACAACGTCAGGATTACAGCTGAAATGCAAACCATCTGCAAACAAAGCCAGTCTTCCATTCCATAGGTGTTCCAACAGAGGAACGAACTTTGTCTCGAGATCCTAATTGCTGAGGCAGTGAGGGGCAGAATTGTCATCACTATAACAAAATTTAGGGAGGGCAGTAAAGACCTACAGCGACAGAATGCATGGGGACTTGGTGCAATGGCAGGGCTAGAGCAGCTCATGAGCAGATGACGCCCCCCCGATTCATGTAACTGGTAGGCAGAATTCACTTTTCTCAGGTTTCTCATTGTTTACAAAATAGGCTTGCCGGGCACTTTACCAAAATGACTTTTTTGTTTTCATTTTTTTTTTGCCTTTTAACGTAATTTTTTTTAGCTATTATTAATTTTTTATTTTAACCTTTGCGGCTTTTGTGTGAAAACATAGTTGAAAATTCCATTCTATTCCATGTATAGATGTAGATCTCTCATACTCTATACTCTAATCAGGGTAGTTAGCACATCTGTCACCTCAAACATCAATCATTTCTCTGTACTGGGAACGTTCAAGATCCACTCTTCGAATAATAGCTATTTGAAAATATACAAGACATTGTTGCTAATTACAGTCACCCTACAGTGCTATAGAACACCAGAGCTCATTCCTTCTGTCTAGCTCTAATATTCTGTCAACCAATCCCTTTCTATCTCCACCTCCCAGCCAAAGTGTTTTTGCTGATTAAGCTTTTGATATTGAAACCATGAAATTTACTTTCACAAGTAATATAATATACTTACCTTTTCTACTGCTTTTTCATTAATCAATGGGCCCTGAGTAGTTCCTTCCTCAAATCCATTACCTACATGCAGGTTCTTCTTCATGGCCTCAGCAAATGCCTTCACAAAGGCATCGTGGATGCCCCTTTGCACCAAGAATCGGTTTGAGCAAACACAAGTCTGGACAGGAGACAAAAACAAACCCACACAGTCTGTCAGAAGCTGCAGACCTGACCAGTGAATGTGTGGCTACTACCGCCTCTCTGTGAAAACACTTCCCTCGGTGGCTGCCATGTGTTCAACCTGCCATTTTCCTCCTCACATGGGCTTAAAAGCACTGAGTCAGCGCATGTTCCCCTCCAATTCCCTCCACAGCTGCTATGCTACACAGCTGCTATGCATCAGTGATTAGTTGGCAATAAGTACCTGTAGACCAAAAAAAGAAAAAAAAAAGCCACCCAATCCATGTTTTTTTCAAATGCCTTTGTTTATTTTGTTTCCCCGGGGGGTGGGAAAAGAATCTGCAGTTCTCCTGGGAGACTGTGATGCTGCAGCCTCAGCAGAGGCTAAGAGGAATGTGGACCAACACCAACTTATAGTCTTTTCTTTTTCCGAGACAGGGTCTCGCTCTGTCGCCCAGGATGGAGTGCAGTAGTGGTGAGTTCACTGCAGCCTTGACCTCCAGGGCTCAAGTGATTCTTCTACCTCAGCCTCCCAAGTAGGTGGGACTATAAGCACTCGCCACCATGCCCAGCTAATTTTTTTTTTTTTTTTTTTTGAGACGGAGTCTCACTCTGTTGCCCACGCTAGAGTGCAGTGGCCGAATCTTGGCTCACTGCAAGCTCCGCCTCCTGGGTTTATGCCATTCTCCTGCCTCAGCCTCCCGAGTAGCTGGGACTACAGGCGCCCGCCACTTCGCCTGGCTAGTTTTTGTATTTTTTCAGTAGAGACGGGGTTTCACCGTGTTAGCCAGGATGGTCTTGATCTCCTGACCTCGTGATCCGCCCGTCTCGGCCTCCCAAAGTGCTGGGATTACAGGCTTGAGCCACCGTGCCCGGCCCCAGCTAATTTTTAAATTTTTTTTGGCTGGGCGCAGTGGCTCATGCCTGTAACCCCAGCACTTTGGGAGGCCGAGGTGGGTGGATCACGTAAGGTCAGGAGTTCGAGACTAGCCTGGTCAACATAGTGAAACCCGTCTCTACTAAAAATACAAAAATTAGCTGTAGTCCCAGCTACTCAGGAAGCTGAGGCAAGAAAATCTCTTGAACCCGGGAGGTGGAGGTTGCAGTGAGCTGACATTACGCCACTGCACTCCAGCCTGGGCAACAGAGTGAGACTCTGTTGCAAAATAAATAAATAAATAAATAAATAAATAAATAAATAAAATGAAAAATAAAAATGTAGAGACAGTCTCACTCTGTTGCCCAGGCTGATCTCCAACTCCTGGGCTCAAGTGATCCTCCTGCCTTGGCCTCCCAAAATGCTGGGATTACAGTTATGAGCCACCATACCTGTCCCCAAGTTGTAGCCTTATAGTGTTACTGATGGTAACATTTTGTGTTTATGAAGGAAAATATACCTATTTCTGACCAAACCAAGCTTATTCAGGTTATGTGGAAGGGAAAAACTTAATTACCAAAGGCCAAAGCAAGGATGAAAATTATTTGATAGAGAATATCACACAACATTTCATAGTTTTTTACAATATAACCTTTCGGGGATATTTACTCTGTTTCTAGAATGCATTTAAAATTACATACTGATGGTACTTTTAAGATGAAATGCTTAAGAATATTTAAGAAGGCAGGATCCTGGCAGCAGCTTGGATAGAACTGGAAGACAGGATCCTTGGCTCAGAGTCCCAGCTCCTCAGCAGATCTGACACTGTGGCCCGAATATGTCTGATCTCAAGTCACTTTTTCCTTCTAGAGTTTCATTTCCTCATCTGTAAAATGCAACGTTTGTAGAGCTGATAACTGTGAAAGTCCCTGACAGATCAAATATTCCAGGATTTCCTAGGAAGACATGAGCTCAGGTCTCTGGTCTCCCAGGACAGCCCCGTTACTCCTCCAAAACACTGCTGGCGTGGGCCTGTGCCCTGTACAGGGCACCTCTGATGCTCCCTCCATCTCGGGACAGCGAGGCCCCACTGGGTCATAGCAGGCAGCAGAGGTTTGAGTTTTTCCAGCCACCACCCTCCTCAACATTTTCTTACTTTCTTTCCCTTGGCCTCAGAGACCCCAATTGTTCAAGGCTGTTCTGTGTCTGAGGAGATGATTATATCCGTTCAGTAGAAAAGAGATCAATGAAAGAAAACTATAAAAATAACCAGATTAAAAGGGTAGGGGAAAGAAGAAAACAGAGAACAATTTGACTAAAGGACATCTGCTGTTTAGAAAATTCTTTGAAGCCAGGGACTGCAACTTATTTTGGGGGGGCCCCTCTGAGTCTAGTATAGTCCCTGGTTTAAAAAAAAAAAAAAAAAAGTCAGGCATATACTAAATATTTGCTGACAGAGTCAATGAATAAAGAATGAATAGTGGAAGGAACCCAAAAGTAGTTTCCTTCTGGGATTTAAGGCAGTAGAGGTGGTGGGATCTTTGTAACACACACACACACACACACACACACAAAACCTGAAATACTCTTCAGGACTCACCTGTCCAGTGTTCCTAAATTTAGATGCCAGGGCCCCTGCTACAGCCTGGTCCACGTTGGCACTGTCAAATACTATAAATGGAGCAAGGCCTCCCAGCTCCATGGAGACCCTTTTCACAGAGTTTGCTGCATGGTGCAACAGGATCTGTGAGCAGAGGAGAGAATGCTGTGAGCACAGAAATCCACTACCAGGATTGTTATAAGCCTTTGTTTAAAAAAATTACCAAACGGTGAAAAAAGCAAGGTGCACAGTGGTGTACATGGGATAACTCTTTGCATAAGAAAAGGGAGAAATGAGAATATGTATTTACATTTGCTTGTATTTGATAAAGAAACATTGGGAAGAGGCTGGGTGTGGTAGTGTGCACCTGTAATCCCAGCACTTTAAGAGGCTGACGTGGGAGGATTACTTGAGGCCAGGGGTTCTAGACCAGCCTGGGCAACATAGTGAGACTCCATTTCAAAAATTAAATAAATAAATAAATTGGTAAAATAAACGCTGAGACGACAAGACACAAAAAGTCATTACTTATAGAAAGAGGGAGGGAGTCAGCGTTGGGGTGAGGGTGAGACTTGTCATGGAGAACATTAATACTGTCTTAATTTTCGAACCATATAAGTAAGCGTATTATCTATCCAAAACAATTATATGATGGGCTTAAAAATCATAGAGATAAGGTAATAAAATCACCTAGAATCCCACAATCCATAGCTTACACTGATAACATTTTAAAGTACATCCATTTAGAATTTAGCCATGCAGGTTCATGTACATGTACATCTAAAAAAAAAAAAAAAAAAAACAGGATGGTATAATTATATAATTACACAGTTTTGTAACCTGCTTTATCTTCCTAATGAATCACATATTTGGGACGTCTACCTTAAAATTCTCATAACATTTTATACCTTGCTCCTTTAATGTAACATTATAATGTGAAGAGCCTCATATGTCAGCACATACGTTTCTGGAACTTTGTCTGTTTATTATTATTATCATCATCGAGATGGAGTCTCGCTCTGTTGCCCAGGCTGTAGTGCAGTTGTGCAATCTCCAGTTACTGCAACCTCCATCTTCTGGGTTCAAGCGATTCTTCTGCCTCAGCCTCTTGAGTGCTGGGATTACAGACATGTGCCACCACACTTGGCTAATTTTTGTATTTTTAGTAGAGATGGGGTTTTGTCATGTTGGCCAGGCTGGTCTTAAACTCCTGACCTCAAGTGATCTGTCTGCCTCAGCCTCCCAAAGTGCTGGGATTATAGGTGTGAGCCACTGTGCCCGGCCTAGAACATTCCTTTAGATGCATACATCGTATTCTACTGCATGGCTTTTCTGTAATTTATTTATTCAGGCCCCATCTGTTGGACATTTAGGTTGTTTCCATCCTTGCTGTTAAAAAAATGCTGTGGATTGCGCCACTGCACTCCAGCCTGGGCGACAGAGCAAGACTCTGTCTCAAAAAACAAACAAAACAAAACAAACGCTGAGATTATTCTGTCAGGATGAACATGTAGAATTGCTAGCTCAATGTATAAGTAAGTAAGGCTTTTGGTACATATAGCTATTCTAGTTTAAATATCCAGTAAGAGATTTCATAGCCTAAGAAGCTGCTCAGGGATGTTTAAATGATTAATTAAGGATAGTAGGTCTTTGTCTAGTCATGGCTGCAGGGAAGATGGGACCACACTTGAGACGGTTCGAGTGAAACAGACCGTGTTCACAAGCCCAAGGTGGCTCTAGCGTTGCCCCCCAAGTGTTGTACATTCTGAGGTCATGAGTTTTGTGACACGGTTCTTGATAAAAACACAGAATGGCTGGAAAGCTGGGCCTGTGTGGGTCCTGTGTATGCGTCCGTATGTTAATATTCCAGCTATCAAATGGTAGTAACAATCTTCTCTGAAACATTACTGTTCAACAAAGTAGTTCAAGTTTTAAGACTACACATATTTTTTATTGGATGCAACATAACCATTTAAAAATTTTTTTTATGTTTTTATCGTAAAATTTTTAAGAAATGTCATTGACTGTTCCTGGATTTGCTTCAGTGCAAAATGATTCTCACTGTTGCGTCACTCCATTTTGCCTCCACCTGGCCTTGAGCATAGGTCCTGTCTCTGGTGTCTGTCCCTCCACCTGCGCTGGCTCTGTGTCCTCTGACAGTGTCCTCTCCCCACTCAGTCTCTGCTTTTCCAGGCAGGCGGCTTGCCCTGGCCACTGGGTATGGCATAAACTCCTGTGATGTCTTAATGAATCTTTTCAGCTCCAGTTCCCATGGGCTGACCTCAGGGCCTCAGCTTCCAAAGACAGCATGTGATTGGCCCGGCCTACCTTTCTTTATCTTTTTTTTTTGAGTTTAGGAGCGGAAGTTTAATAGGCATAAGAGAGAGAAAGAAACAGAAAGGAAAACAGCTCTCTGTCTTCTCTAGTGAAGGAGAGGGGACTTCCGAGAGGAAAAGGCCCTGACCCAGCCCACCCTTCTATGCCAGGCTACTTGTCCTAGATCACTGGCCAGCCCACAATTTACGTTTCGCTCAAGTTAATGACCACTCATGGTTCAGTTCTCTGAACAGAGGAAGAGACGAGGTATCATGCGCTTTAAAACCTGGCTGCTGTCCTCTCAGTGGGGTCCTGGGAGGGGTGGCCCCCCTAGAAAGAAGCAAGGGCAGGGCAGGCATCCCTAGAACAGGCTCGCTGTATATCCCTCAGTTACAGGAAAAGGTTCTCCACCCCAGAACCAGCAGCTGAGCCACTAATCTCTGAAGACCAGCTCAGCAGAGGTGCTTGCTATATGCATTAATTATCCTTTTAGCTATATTTGTCACATTTCCCATTCAGTCACTTGAGGTCCATCACTGTCCTAGGTAAAGAGGAGCAGAGCTGGACTTGGCAGGGTCATGGCTGATATTTTCCTGGAGCCCTGTTAGATGAGGATAGTTTGCTGAGAAAACTGAGTTGCTGCCCTTCGCCCAGTATCCTGGGAATTTCTCTGGCTTGAACGACGAAGGATTTACAACCCTTTCTCCCAGGCTTCCCTCTTTTTTCTAACTACTTCGTAGTAACATTTGAATCCCTCTGCAGGTAAGTTTGCATTGTAAGACCCACTAATCAGGGCATAGCAGTGTATGGATCTAAAAATTCCCATTCCTATTATGAATGAATGGTAGGATTCCAAAGCACTACTCCCGGAGTATGAGTTTATAGCATGACAAAAGTGATTATGACTGGGAGGCATTAAAATTACATTATTCCAGCCGGGCACACTGGCTCACACCTATAATCCCAGCACTTTGGGAGGCCCCTAAGGAGGGAGGATCACTTGAGGCCAGGAGTTCCAGATGGGCCTGACCAACATGGCAAAACCCCATCTCTACAGAAAATACAAAAATTCGCCAGGCGTAGTGGCACATGCCTGTAATCCTAGCTACTCAAGAGTCTGAGGCATGAGAATCACTTGAACCCAGGAAGTGGAGGTTACAGTGAGCCAAGATCATGCCACTGCACTCCAGCCTGGGCAACAGGGCAACTGTCTCAAAAAAAAAAAAAAAAAAAATTAAATTATTCCCTCATGCTTCTCATGGTTTCTAAAATGACCACAGATGCACAAAATCTTTGAAATTAGACTTTTTAATTTTTATTATTTTTTGAGGCAGGGTCTCACTCCTATTGCCCAGGCTGGAGTGCAGTGACATGATCACAACTCACTGCAGCCTCGACCTCCTAGGCTCAGGTGATCCTCTCACCTCAGCCTCCCAAGTAGCTGGGACTACAGGTGTGTGCCACTAAGCCCAGCTAATTTTTTTTTCTGTAGAGACAGGGTTTCACCATGTTGTCTAGGTTAGTCTCGAACTCCTTGGG